CAAACAAATAATCAAGTAAAAAATAATCAAGTAGAAGTATCAGAAACTGCTGAAACATTATTTCAAAAAGAAATTAACAAAAAAAGAAGAAAATATAAAAGAATTATCTTAGAAAATGTTGTCATCGAAGATGATTTGTTTAATTTATTTATTACAGGATTAGATGTAGAAAATATTATTATTCAAAAATAATGTATATTTTATTAAATAAAATTAATAAATTTATTTCAGTTTCAAAAAAAATTAAATTGAACGTTTTCACGCTTTGAAAAAATTGAATTGAACTTTTTTCATGATTTCAAAAAAATTGAATTGGATGTTTTTCACTGTTTCAAAAAAATGAATTGAACTTTTTTCATGGTTTCAAAAAATTGAATTAAACTTTTTTCACAGTTTCAAAAATTTAAAAAAACTTTATTTAAAAAATAAAAAAAAACAATTTTATCAAATAAATTTAATCGTAAAAAACTTTAATTTTTTTAAAATTAATTTTATCAAAAGAACCATTGTAAATTAATCTCAATCTTCTTTTTTCTTTGATTTTTGTTTCTTTAGTTATCATTTCTTGTTACAAATTTTCTTCTATTCATTAGAATGTTTTGTAATAAAATGTCTTTTAATTGTATTTGAAGAAGGATTTTTGTATTTCCTTTTACAGATTGAACATTCAATTTTGTTATCAGAAACAGAATTAAAATATTCTCAGATCTTATGAGAATTAATTTTTTTCATTTTGAAATTTTTAATAGTTTCGTTGAACATTTCTTTAATATTATTATTTATGTAATATAATTATAATTTACTTCATGAGAAAATCCTTATGAGGATATTTTGATCAATCATCACTTTCTATTTTAAGATTGTTTTGATAAATCCTCAAGAGGAAATCCTCATGAGGATATTTATGATTGATCATCACTTTTTTGTTTTGATAAATCCTCAAGAGGAAATCCTTATAGGGATATTTGTGATCGATCATCACTTTCTATTTTAAGATTGTTTTGATAAATCCTCAAGAAGAACATTAAATATAACA